ATATATATATATATATAGAGAGAGAGAGAGAGAGAGAGAGAGAGAGAGAGAGAGAGAGAAAGTGTCATTATTTATCAATTTAGACATGCAAATTTAAGGATAATTTGAAATTAAAAATAAAATATTATAAAATTGGGTTTTTGTTGACTATAGTAAGAAATACATTTCCATACTTACCACAATAACTAAAGAAAGCAAACGGTAATTAAATCAATGCATATAGACAAACATATATGTATGCGGAAGTGTGAGGTGTGAGAAAATAGATAAGCCAAGTGAAATAAATAAATAAAAAAGAATTGGTTAATGTGAACCATTGGATTAAAAGTTGAAGTACAATATTGATCGAAGCTCATTCTCCCTTCTTATAAATCAATAATTTACCTATTTTGGTTCTTTATTTTTGTAATTTACCCCTTCTTAATTAGTATCCCAAATCCATCAGTTCATTTAAATGATCATTTTCTTCTTTTCTCTATAATGAAAGCGCCTAGAAATTATTTAAGACAAAAGTTGTGATTGAAATTGAAAACCCAGAAAACAAGTCTTTTATAGATTGAATATTATCTTTATAGGCCCGTTTAGTTCGTTGATTCGAATTTTTAATTTGAGTTGATATGTGATTTTATATAAGAGTTTTTTACTGTAGTAAAAAAGTTATATGTGACTCTTTATGGGAGTTTTTTACTATAATAAAACTCGAATCGGTGAAATGAACGGAGTCATACTGCTACATTAGTATAACGTTGGAATCATGAGTGATTCTCTTCCTTTCTGCAATTTGTGTTTATTTTTATTTTTTTCAAAGTAATATGGCTTTTGATTTTTTTTTTTTAATCCTGACAAAGTCCTCTTTCTTTCGACTGGGAGATGGAAAAGTACAGAATAATATATTAGCTCTAGTAGTAACTTAACATTTATCTCTCCAGTATATAGTACTCAAAAGTAACACTTCAAGCACTCATTACTCGCATATTTTTATTTCCTAATATAATTTAATATATTTACATTTTAATATAATTGCGCTAGCCTCAACTTCATAAGCATTAGTAAGTCTATTTATAGCAAAAAAAAAGAAAAAAAAAAGGCTAGCTATCAGATGATTTACATGTCAAATCCAAATATATTAACTAGATTGAATCAAATACTTAACTTTTATTATTTTCCTTTCTTCAAAACTTAACGTTTCACGTTTTAGAATGTGTTTGGTTGGTAAATTTGTGTTATGGTTCGGATAATAGTTTGTGACTCGTTACAGTATTTTTTCTCACATAAAATACACGTAAATTGAAAATAATTCTGAATCATAATTCTAAATCCATAAACCAAACGTCCACTTAATAATTCATTACCCAGAAAATAAAATTCCACTATAAATATATATATAATTCCCTTCTCAACAATCCAAGATTCCTCCGTGGAAAAAGGACACGTCATACGATCAGTGCCATTGTAAAACCCGGATGCATATGTTTGTATTGATGTGTCTAGCTAAGTAGTATAAATAGGCAGCTCGACGACTAGGACAATGTGATATGTGTACGTTTGATTATGGAGTTTACATACAACGAATTATGTAGCCTAATAAACTCCTATAAATATATTCAAAAGGCAGATTTTGCAATGGGAAAAAAAAAAAAAAAAAAGAGAGAGAAGTGTTGTAAGGTAAAATTCCTAAACCCTAATCTGAACATCGATGGGACTCACGTATTATAAATGAAGACATTTAATGATCAGAACAGCTTTGCTATAACTGCCACATCAGCCAAAGGTTGTCCTAGCCGTCACATCGGACAAAGATTGCCACAAGAACAATAATGGACGAAGGTTCTTTTGGGAGTAGAACGCAAGTAAAGCGAAAAATATAAGAAGGCGGTCGATCGTTTTAAATGGTCGAGATAAATAGAAAATCGACCGCTCTGGCGGCACAAGCGAAGGAGGCTTAGAGAGCACCTGTGTAACGTCCCGATTTTTGGGCTTAAACTTTTGTATTAATTTTGTATGAAGGAATTGTAAGAGAAATGACAAAAGAATTTAAGGATTAAATTGCAAGGCTCTAGGGGGGCAAGATTGTAAGAATTTTCATATTTAGGGGCAGTATTAGGAAAAAAACAGCATCCAGCTATCCTTTCATGTGGCATGGCTGGAATTTTAGCCAAGCCACTAATCTTCCCCTCCTCTAGCTGGGGGGGGGGGGGGGGAGTAATATAGGAAGGAAAAAAAAAATTACACTCTCATTCTCATTCTCCCTCTCCCTCCCTCTGCGTTTTTCTCTTTTCCTTGATTCAATCTCCATCTTCCACAAAGGGCTACAGCCATTCTTTGAAGTGAAGAGGTGGTTTGAGCAAGGATTCAAGGTAGGATTTTTCACTTTTGTTGTCTAATCCGAAAATTTAATTTTTGCCTTGATGTTTTACCTTCGCTTAGTGGCTGGATTCTGTGGATTTTAATGTTACAACCTGATTTGGTTTTAGAAAAGTTGAACCTTGAGCTTCCTTCAAAACCCCATTTTCGGATTCCTTCAAAGGCCTAACTTTTAACATGCAAATTTGAGCTCAACGTGAAGTTCTTCTATATTTTTGGTCTCCGAATCTTGTAACCTACCTAAGGAGTATAAGGACAAGCACAATCAAGCCTTCTTAACGGTGGACATTACTCTTCTGCAACAATCTGATTTCAGAAAAAGGGCTGCAGCAATTCCTGGAGGAAAAGGGGTGATTTGAGCTAGAATTCAAGGTAAAGATTTATTTGGGAGTAATTGATTGAATTACGTTTTGATTTTAGCATGAAGTACCATATACTGACAAATTGTTGATTGAGTTGGTAAATTGTGGGAAACACAGAAAAACAGGGTTAGGAGAGTTAATTTCATGTTTAAAGCCTGGTAACATTGTTGGTTTTTGTGTAGTTGAAATCTCCATGATGCTAAACTTAGTTATGATGACTTGGAGACAAAAAATCTGAAATTGAAACTATGTTCACATACTTTTCTGCATGTCTTGAGGATTTTGATTACGAGATTGATAATTAGAGCAAACTTAATGATTTTAGGTTAAATATATAATCCTAATATAAGCCGATAAGATATTTTCTCCAAGCTTCGTATAATAAGTTTTTGAGGATTAACCTTGCTAGACCCTTAAAGTAAATGTCCTAATCTTCGATTAGAGACAAGAATCGCATTAAATGGAGACCCGTAACCCAAGTTATGACTTTTTAAAGTTAGGCTTAGTGGTTGGTTTTCTGTAGAAAAACTAGCAAAATTTGATCTGGTTTACCATATTTTTGGAGACTTAAATGGACCTAAAACTAAGCTTGTGATACCTTCTTCGAAAGCCCTAGATGTCTACTTCGATTGGGTTCTGGTGTTATAATTTTTGAGGCTACATAGAATACTTTGTGAATATTCTTGTAGCAGTCGTAAAACTGTCATTTTCATAAAATAGTAAAACAAAGAACTGAGGGTCCTACTTTTTGAAATGGGAGTGCTGCACTTAAACCACCTTTTCTACTATTTAGAACATGTTATTAGTGACGTGTGAGAGTTGAAATCACCTCATTTAGAGTTTTGTAGCTCAAGTTGTGCGCATAGGAAGTTTCATATAGAAACTTTCTAAAAGCTGTCAAAAACGGAAAAAACAGAATTTTGATTTCTTAGAAACAGTTTTTGAGGTACTTAGAGATGTCGGATTGAGACATATGATAGCTCGTTGGAAAGATATACATGTCTACTTTGTTTTGAAGTTAATTTTGGAATTTTTAAAGACAAATAAAATATCTTATGAATTTCTTCTCAAGATGGATGAATCTGTAAAATTCTAGTTTTCAGAGGAATGTGATTATGAATTAGAAATTGATTTATGGTGAGCTATTGAGCTCTAATAACGATGGCCAATTTGTTTATTTTGAACAGTAGAAAGGAAAACGAACAAGGGAAACGAAGAGGGTTAAACTCGGATTTTGCTGAGCAACTCAGGTAAGTAGAGCATGACTTATCTGCAACACTTGTAAACTTTGTTTGATAGACTTTATGTGGAATGTCTAGTGTGCTATTATGTGAATTTTTGTGACATTGTCAATGTGTATGCTTTGTGAAGGCATGCTTACGTTAATATATTGTGCGCAAAGTAGAGCATCGCGTGGATTATTAGGTTGCTTGTGATTGAGCACATAATAACATTCATGATAGGCCGGTACTGCCAAGTCAAAGGACTTCTGTTGTGATATGGTGATTGATGAAATTGTGATTGAGCCGCGCAAGTCTCTTGAGCCAAGTGGGGGATGACGGAGACTATATTGTGATATTAAAAAATTATGATTTTGAATGCGCTGGCCGTTCCCTCGAGCCAGGTGGGTGATGACGGGGAACCTAATATTGTGATTTGAGAAATTGACATGTGGTCAGATTGTGAAAAAGCCGGCAGTACCGGGAGGGCCCTAGTGATATATAGTGCACGTGCATATAGTGTAAGAATTGATTGGCATAAGTTACCTATGATGTTATGATGTACGAGTATGTTAAAGTAAGATTGTGTGATTGTAGCTCTACTTACTGAGCTTGTAGCTCATTAAAGTTTGCTCTGTGCTATAGGTAAAGGTAAAAACAAAGCAGAACAGTAAGCAGGGGAGTTGGCTTTGTTGACCGCTGTACATATGGTTAGACCGAAGAAGCTGCACACAGATTATTTTGGGTTTGTAAATATATATTTTGGAGTTAAACTCATAAAACTTGGATGACTATATAATTTTAATTGTGGCTAGAAAACTTGATAGGAATGGTATATTAATGAAATGTTATTTAAGCAAAAAAAACAAAATTGAAACACCATAGTTTTCACATAAGTGACAGGTGAAGGTTAGTTATTGTGGCACGCCCTTAGGATTAATAGTAAGAAAGGCTTGGAAGGAGATGGTATAAAAGAAGGGTTGTCACAACCTGGGAGGTCGAGTCCATGAAGATCGAGAGCGGGGCTTGTCCCGAGATTTGTAATTAAAGTAAACGAAATAAGCGGGAAGTAAGTGAAAAAATCCTGCTAATTAGTAGAAATGTCAACCAAACGGGGATGTTATCCTAAAATTTGGAAAAAATATCCCAGAAGCTCAGGAGGTATATATATGTAAAAAGGACAAGTCCAGAAAAAACATTCTGTAATTTTCATCCTGAGAATATAGTGAATTTATCTCTCTCACAATAGACGTAGCTCTTGAACATAATAGTAGACCATTATAAATCTGTGCATAAATTCTTCTTGATTGCTTTTTGATCTTTCCAAAACATATTCTAAACCGTTAAAAATCACTTTAATCGTCTTTATTCGGATTAATTCTGTTGACAAATTTTCATCGTCAACAAGAAGTACAAAACAAAACGACAATTGATAACCATAGAGGCGTAGTGATCTTACCATACAGGATTCAATTCCGGAAAAGATAGCCTATGAGAGCTTTCCCCTTATTACCAGCGCATCAAGAAATTCTCTTTTTAACGTTATGCTCTCCCTTGATACCATTTGATAGATCCTACAAGGTGAAAACTTGTCTTCAATGATCTTATAATATCATTAAATTATTTCTGTGTCAGAACTTGTTTTTTCCTTTCCTGGGAAGTTAATTTGTTTTGCTTCTTTTGTCGTATGAAGGATTTAACTTGCTCTTTTTATTTTGGCAAAAACTAGTGCTTTTCAAAAGAATAATATGCCTGCAAAGACGCACGAAAAATGGGCTAAGATTCCATGCTCAATTTGGTGTCTAATAAATCGTATTATGTCATGCCTTTTTTTTTTTTTTTTTTTTGTAATATTGTTCAGCTGGATTTATGTATTTTTTTTTTCTTCTAAAGCTCATTAAATAATGTGATATAATATACTGATTCAACACTATTTGGGAATCAAAAAATTAAACAGGAGCCAATTGCTATGCATCGTCGTCCATTACAAATTAAAATGATCAAACATGACGTGATTTAGATCAGTACTGATTAAAATAAAAATTAAAAGTGTCGACAACGCAATATGCAAGTATAGAACGATGAAAAAGAGACAAACGGTCGTTTTCTCAAGTCTTTAAATAATTGTTTTGGGATATAGAATATTTGTATGATTGATTTGTAGTGTGCGTGTGTATGTGTGTGACTTCTTCTGTTATGTCAATACAATATTATAACAACAAATAAAACAAGGAAAGTAAGAAATTTGCTTTAAATTATTGCTGATTATTTCATCGATATTTTCTAGGTAATAATTCTCAATGAAAAAGGAAGAGAAAATGACGTTCAATATCGACTTAGTTAGAAATAAATAAATCAAAGGATTAATTTTAAAAATTCTCCCCCGAACTATGCTTCTTTTAACATTTTACTCTCTAAATTTTAAAAAATAACATCTGTTCCTTTCGAACTTTATTCCGTTAACAAGTTTTATTCTTCTGTTGCAATAAATGACAAAAATCGCCACATTTCAAGTACATAACTTATCTGAAGAAAGTATTATCGTAAATTAACCTGCAACAACCTTAAATTATAAAAAAAAAAGTGATTAAAATAATTCAAATGCGTTAAAAAAATCCATTTTAACACGACTATTCGAGTTCCCCAATCAAAGACCCATCTTTCACAGATCAAAACTAAAATCAAAACGCATATGAAAAACATAAATGATTCCAATGAAAAACATAAATGATTCCAACAAAAAAATGAAAAAAAAAAAAACCTTGAATCCACCTTTTGTATTGGCGGCGTAGGATATTTGTGATGTTGAATTTCTATCCTCCAAAGATATTGCATTAGTTGGACAAACCATTTGACAAGGCCTTGTGCAGTCAAAAGGACAATCCCAAGACATACCAGCCTTGCGAAAATGAGGATCTTCATCATCATTAACACTGATCATGACCCAAGGCCTTGGAAGATGAAAAATATTTGTGGCTGCTTCAATTCCCTCATTCACCGCACTCACAATTGATGCATCAGCTGTACATTCTATGCAATCCATTGTTTCTAAACTCTCTCACTTACTCTATCTCAAACCCAAAAAAAAAAAAAAAAAAACTTGTTTTTCTCTCACCTCCAGCAAGAGTGTAAACAAGAGAGAGATTTCTGATAATGTTGAAAATGTCGAAAACTTATGTTTGGGAAAATGTCAAAAATGAAAAGAGGAAAGAATATAGAGAATTATCTAATTATGAGAGTATAAGCGTAATTGCGTTTTTAATTCTCATTAAATAAGTAATACGTGGCGATTTCTGTCACTCGTTGTAACAGAATGATAAAACTCGTTAACAGAACAAAATTCAGGAAGAACGGATCTTACTTTTTAAAATTTAAGAGATAAAATGTTAAAATGATCATAATTCGGGAGGAATTTTTGAAATTAATCCTATATCAAAATACTTAATTATGCCAATAATATGTAAAACTTGAAAAGGAAACCGAATAAGTAATAAATAAATAAATAACTACGTTTAGCAGGTCTCCATAGTATAGTAAACCTAAACTCAGTCCACATATATAAAGCTAATTATTAATGTGCTCGTACTATAATATTTTCTCCCAAGTCCCTATAGCTCTCGGTCATCAACCATGGCCTTGAAGGTAGAAGAAGAAGGTACTATTGAAGGAAGAAATGATTACACACAAGACGGAACAGTGAATCTCCAAGGCGGACCCATTTTAAGATCAAAGACTGGGAGATGGAAATCCTGTTCCTTCATTGTAGGTAAAGTAGTCCATTTTTAATCGAGACTGGCCATAATAAAGGCAAGAGCACTTCTATATGTTTCTATGGGTACCGGTTTTAGTCATTTTATATGTGTCAAATTTTGATATGTTAAAACGCTTATGAGTTTTCAATTACTCTTAAGAAAATTGGGTTCATAAATGCATGTCAATTTTAATTTTTATGTAAGAATGGGGGTTATATACAATTATTTTCTAGTTGGAAAAGTAATCCACTCATAGATCAGTAAATTGGGAAGAACATTTGCATTTAATTAGTAAATTGTCGTTCTAGGCTTCTAGCTAGTTAAGTCCAAAATTATAATAAGCTCCTCAACTCTTAATTATAAAGCGTTATATAGCCTCCCTTGCAGATCCTACATAATATACATGTATATTGGTTTTTCCAACAGAGATTTGATTTTTAAATGTTTTCGTGTTTTCTTTATGTTACGTTTATATATATATATATATATATATATATATATTATATATATATAGCATACGAAGTGTTCGAGAGGATGGCGTATTATGGGATTGCGACAAATCTAGTGCTGTACTTGGCAAATAAGCTCCATGAAGGCACTGTGACCTCTTCAAACAACGTTACAAACTGGATTGGTACGGTTTGGATGACACCCATTTTAGGAGCTTACATTGCAGATGCTTATCTCGGCCGGTATTGGACTTTTGTCGGTGCTTCAGCAATTTATCTCATGGTATAATATTACAGCTAATTACTAATTTCACACACACAGATATATACATATTCATGCACTTCACATATGCACCATATAATATATGCACGCAGAATCGAACAGGTATGTGATTCTTGTTAAAGAACAAGAACCACAGAGCATTATAGATATAGACATCGATATGTATGTGGGGAAACAAATATTTGACATGTTTAGAATTGATCCCTTTTTATTTTTCATTTTCAAAATAACGTTTGGCGCAATAAAGACAAAAAAAAACAGAAATAAAAACGATTTTTTGGTTTAGTGTAAAATGAGAGAAATGAAAAATGACTTTTAGTCGTTTTTCATTTTTTATTTTCACTTACTCCTCTCTCGAGCAGAGAGAGAAAAAGATAGACATTAATAGGTTTTTTTATACTGAAAATAATCACTTGATAAAACTACCAAATGCATTTTTAAAAATGATTTTTGTTTGAGATTAAAAACGTTTTTATTTTTATACAAAAAATAAAATCATTTTAGAACGAGTTCTAAACGTTTATTTCATTAGACTTACGTCAACAAATTAATGATTTGTTTTTTATTTGGACACCATATTAATACGTTATAGGTCTATATATGGCAGCATATATATATATATATATATATATAAATGGTACTCTGATCTAACTGTAATATTCTTTTCTTTCTATCAAAACATATTCCTAAAGTATTCCAATTTCCAGAGATCCGTTACCCCAATCTCCTAGACGCATAATGCGATCTAGGCCTAATAGGAAGCTCATAATAACGCAATCTTATCTTGGTTTTCTCGGGATTTCGCATAGGATTTTTTTTTTTTTTTTTATTGTAACTATCCTAATTAATAGAGCAATGTTACATATAACTTGTTTGAGTGTTATCATGTAACACAAAAAAACAAAAAAACAAAACAAAAAAACAAAAAAGAAAAAAAAAAGTTACAAATTCATATAAAAGTTGTTACGCTTGTTGTACCGTACCGCTGCTGGACTTAAAGACCATGCTTATGATTATAACAATTAGAGCAACACTTTCGTTTTTTTAGTATTTCTAACATGTTCGAGATGGCAAACAAGTTAATCAACTGTTCCTCCAAATATTGTTGTAACTAAACAGGGAATGTCGCTATTAACCCTAGCAGTTTCAGTTCCAGCCCTAAAGCCACCATCATGCGGACACGGAATCAAAGACGCAGATTGCACCAAAGAAGCCTCACACTTTAAAAAGGGTATATTCTACTGTGCACTCTACATTATTGCTTTGGGAACAGGTGGTACCAAGCCCAACATCTCAACCATGGGCGCTGACCAATTCGATGACTTCGAGCCCAAAGAGAGGGCCCAAAAGCTCTCCTTCTTCAATTGGTGGATGTTCAGCATTTTCTTTGGCACCCTCTTCTCCAACACGTTTTTGGTCTACATACAAGACAATGTGGGCTGGGCTCTTGGATATGGGCTTCCAACGGTTGGGCTTGCGGTTTCCATTTCGGTGTTCTTGGTGGGGACTAAATTTTACAGGCACAAATTGCCTACAGGTAGTCCTCTTACTAGGATAGTTAAGGTGTTTGTGGCTACTATAAGGAATTGGAATTTGACTCTTCCAAATGACCCAAAAGAGCTTTATGAGCTCAGCTTGGAAGAATATGCAAAATCCGGGAAATTCAGAATTGACCATACTCCTTCATTAAGGTACTTGTTTATGATCTCTTTCACATTGTTATAATAGTCTAATTATTTGTCATCTTGTTATGTTGAACCAATCTCTTGAACTTCATGCAACACAATCATACCTAGAAAACAAAAACCTTTTATTTAACTCTCTTTAATAAATGACTAATTTGCTTAAATATTAGACAGTAAGGTATTAAAAACATGGAGAGTGCTATAATAGAGTGTGAAAAATTCTCATGATAAAACCCATTTATGTACCGTTAAATGACATCATAATTCTATATATGATACGAAGAAAAGTATTCAGTTTATAAAAACTTAATGAGAATATGACGTTTCAAAATTACAAAGCAGACTTTTTTGTTAAATAAAATTTTGTTAGAGCAATTCTCACCTGTTAGATATTCAAATCAAACTTAAGATTCGGTTGTAACATGCCTTCCAACTTAATTAACAGATAAAATACATCGAAATTCCTTCCAAGTAAGCCATATAAATGAAAAACAACGAAATTACTTTCCATGATATTCAGTACTAACAAGCTAGTTTTATCTGCAGATTCCTCGACAAAGCAGCAGTACGAATCAGCGACTCAACCTCGCCATGGACTCAGTCGTGTCCAGTAACCCAAGTCGAAGAAACCAAGCAAATGCTGAAGATGCTCCCAATCCTCGTCGCCACATTCATCCCCAGCACCATGCTCGCCCAACCCCAGACTCTCTTCATCAAACAAGGTTTCTTTAAAAAAAATCTAGAGAGAGAGAAATTTTGCGAATGTCTTTGCTTTATACTCGTCTACAATGCTTAAAAATCATAAATTATTCCATTATTAAAAAAAAAAAAGTAATTACTAATATTTACGCTTAATTACAAATGATCTCATAAATCACGTTTTTGACTCATTGTCCCTTTCTTTTATCACAAGGCGCCACCTTAAACAGACACATAGGCCCAAACTTCGAGATCCCTCCGGCCTGCCTCGCCGCCTTCATCACCGTCTTCATGCTTTTAAGCCTAGCTCTCTACGACCGCTACTTCGTCCCGGCCGTTCGACGCTACACCAGAAACCCTAGAGGCATCACATTGCTCCAGAGACTCGGCATTGGCCTTGTTCTCCACATCATCATCATGGTAACGGCCTGTTTGGCCGAGAGAAAGCGTCTCAGCGTCGCCCGGCAAAACAAAATCTTCGGGAAACACGAGATTGTCCCTCTCACCATCTTCGTCCTCATTCCTCAATTCGCTCTCATGGGCGTCGCCGACTCGTTCGTCGAGACCGCGAAGCTCGAGTTCTTCTACGACCAAGCGCCGGAGGGGATGAAGAGTTTGGGGACCTCGTACTTCACGAGCAGTATAGGGATCGGTAGCTTCCTGAGCAGTTTTGTTCTGACGACGGTTTCGGACTTCACGAAACGACACGGACGAGGAAAGGGGTGGATCTTGGATAACTTGAATGTGTCCCACTTGGACTACTATTATGCCTTCTTGGCTGTCTTGAGTTTTATCAACTTTTTCTTCTTTTTGTTTGTGGCCAAGTTGTTTGTTTACAATGTTGATGTGACGGAATCCAAGAGGGATTTTGCTTTGGAAACTTCGCCGGAGATATTGACTTAGGACAGTGAAGCTGAAGGGTCGTATACTGGACTTATCAAGTGATGAAAATTGAAAAATATAATTTTGGTGTATTTGTTGCCCCTAATGATACTTGAAATACATTCCAACGATAACGAAAAATAATGTACTCGTTAAAGAATGTAATTCCACACAATATATAGTTGTTTCATTTCTGTTTTTGCCGTTGAACTTTCTCCGGTGTCCGAATGTCCTCTTGCTTCCTAGAAACGGCACGTCATTTATAGTTACAGCTTATACGTAGTTAATAGAAAACGACACAGTCTAACCTCTTGTTTATTTAATACTTCAAAAACGACCAGAAAAGGGCGTGTTTTACTGTTATTCACAGTTGAAGCATTCTGTCGTTCATTGCTAAAAAAAGACATGTCGTTGAATAGGAAAATTTTTCTTTCCGACCGATAAACTTCCTGACGTTTTGGAAAACATATCCTTCAAATTTAAAATTTTCCCGCTATATGTAACAAACATGTCGTTCTTCGAAGCGAAGTTTTTTGTTCTTCCAGTTGTTTTTGTGGCGTCGTACTGAAAAAAGTCATGCTACGATATTAGGAAAAAATGATGTCGTTTTTACAGAAAAACTATCTTTTCCAACCAGTAAAACCGACATACCGCTGTACCTTTAGAATGTCGTTTATCTAGAAACGACATGTTCTTTGTGATTCAAAAATCTGTCACTTAACCAGTCTTTCATACGAAATTTTCCTGTCCTTTAAGTCGTGAAAATGACATGTCATTCTTTGTCTCAACTATACTGTCGTATGATACCAGAAAATAACACTGCCAGTAGTCCACTATGAAACGACATTTTGGAAACTTTGTCTTCAGACATGTAAACGAAAATGTCATTTTAAGCTTTTAAAATGATTTATATGTAATGAAACATGTCCTCTGTAATTTAAATTTGTACTGTAAGAACGAATTCAACATATATATTTTCCATACAACAGTTGGCTGTTCTTGAAGTTGGTGAAACAGTACTTTGCTGTCTTTCCAATCCATGAGAAAAAGTGTTGTCGTTTATCACTAAACGACATGCCGTCTTTTTACATATAGCTAATGGATTACAGGTTCTTTATTTATCGATAACAAGTTACAGGGTTTAGCAAAAGAATAGATAAGAGGCCTGGGTTAGGGTCCTAACTTAATTCTTTTTTTTTTTTTTTTTTTTTGTTGCTAGGAATCAACTTCCTTTAACTATGACCAGCAAAAGAATTCCCACTTGGTTAAAAATGCTTGTTTTAGGTGACAATAGGCAGCAACTTGTATCCTGCAATGGACTCCAACAGCCAAGTGTGACCAATGACTTTGGATCCAGTTTGGGAAGCTGCATCCTCTGCCTCACTTAACCTTTGGAACAGGATTGCAACTTCTTCCCCTAATCTGCACCCTTCTAGCGGGTCGATGTTGTATACAACTAATGCCCGTGGTGTTGGAGCTGCCTCTTTGCTACTTCGTGCAACGAGTTCTTCCCTGCTTCTCAAGACGGTCCCTCCTGCGGCTGTCACCAAATCTTGGAGATCTTCCTTGTAAGACGGCAGAAAATCACCTACCAAATAGAAGTTCAAGCCACTAAAAAGCTTTGGTGCCTACAAAGAGAAATTTTAAAATCAGTAAACTAGAAACAACTTAAAAAATGTAATCATAAAAAGAAAAGGAAAAAAAAGAAAAAAGAAAGAGCAAGAGTTTCTATAAAATTGCATGTGGCACGAATACCAAAATCGTTGGGGCTTTTTGACTTTAAGAGAAACACTAATTTGTAAAATGACTTTCCAAAAATTTATATTTGCAAAATGATTTTGGAGTTTAAACTTGGCAACCACTTTTTATACTGAGCGACCAAGTGGGGTGCAAAATTGTAAAAAAGTAAGGTTATTCTGCTAATGTAAAATTTTGAATTGTCAATATGGACGATGGATCGTTTTCTAGTTGAGTTATCCCATAGAAAGTAAGGTGTAACTAAATTAAGGTGCTCATAAAGGTTTATAGCTTCAAAATGTGGCACCACGACCATGTCATATTGAAGTATTTAGCCGTCGAAGAGGAACTTACATTATCTGATGCTCTGAGCCTGCCATTCTTTGGACCATCACAGCACCCATGGTTATCAAGACAAACTTCATAAGGTTCTTCATTCACATGACAATTTGCCTCCATGCATGCCCTTAGCCCTGCAAAGCCCATGTTTTTAGCTGTGTCATACATTGTTCAAGTTCATATCTATTGTTTCACAGTGGTGCAATAAACCAACTTCAGTTAATTAAACATGAAGGGTACGAATGGATGAGTGAAAATCAGGAAGAACTGTAAAAGAGAGGGCCTATAAGTTAAAATGTTGTTGTCCTACTCAACGAACAAAGGGAAACAATGTGATCAAAGCAATCAAAAGACGGAAAACATCAAAAATGTCAAAATGAATAACGTACAGTCAACTTTAACAATCCATCTTCCATTCAAAATTGCCATGAGAAATTTCAACGTCCGCGTGCATGCATCCTTATCATCTGTGGCTGCAATCACATGTGTTACATTTGGGTTCCAAAACTTGGAGACAGTGGCACCGCTCATCTTCCCATACTTGACCAAAAGAGCCTGTAGCATGGCATACAAAAAATAAATAAATAATAAATAAAAGAAAGGAATCAGTTCAGATCTGGCTGAATAGGAAATATTCAATGCTCATACAGCAGAACATGATAGAGATAAAATAAAAGGCAAAACATAAAATAGCAAATATCAAAAACAGACTTTGCCAGAAATCATAGAAGCTAGGAGATCCAATGTTCCAGATAATTAGATGAAAATGACACATCTTTCCCAGATAAAGATGTGCCTCAGATAATATAAAACAGTAACATCAATCTATTCAAAATGCTTTTGCACATTGAAGCTTTGTCATGATGATCAAATAGGGATCAAGTACCTTCTCGTCTGTAGACAAAGCAGAACCACAAAAAACCATTTTCTTCTCTCCATCTAGAGAAGGCACAAAATTGGACAGCTGACAGCTCCTGGAAACAGAATAGTAGAAATTTTAATTTCGAAAAAAAAATGCTTGGCGCTTTCAACAGATTACTCCTCTTCGAAGAAAAGTTTAGCAAGCATTTGTGATTTTCAAGTAATTATTCTAACCGTAGACCTGAATTTTACTATGTCAAAACATAACATTTTGCTTGTAAGTTTTTCCTAATGACATAAGCATCAAAAGGTATAATAGAAGATGAAACCCTACGCTATAGCAGGTAAGGTGTGATCTTTAGCGATAATTTTCCGAGACTTGGGCTTCTCACTAGGGAATCTAACTGAAGAATGAGCTGGACAGAGAATTAGAAAGTCTTCCTGCAATAAATTCAAAAATTAAACCATTAGGTCCATTACCCTAGCTATTACTTGGAGCTTAATTCACTGCACTAAAATAGGACGTATTTTTAAGAAATTTGAAGACAAAAACATGTGCGTACATAATCCCAACGACATTTTGAGATCCCCATTGCACAAGGAACGTGATAGCTTTTCCGACAGGATCTCACATAGCATCCCAAAGCTGCTCCTTTGTGCCCACATGTAGAACACCTGAGCTTTGCACCCCTTGCCAATTCTTCCTTCAAATTCTCAACTCTATCATCATCAACATAGTACACTTGCGGAGCCCTGCATTTCCAAATTCTATATTACAATTCTCTATTGTCATGAAAGTTTTTACTTTTTGCTCTCCTCTAGATTTCATAAAACATATAAACACATGGAACCCATTTGAAGCATATAAACTATCTCAATAATGAAGATCTGTAGGAACACATAGTGGGCAAGCACAACTTCTATTGTTAAAGGGGTGTTCATCGGTTTTTAACCGACAATTTTGGTCGGTTTCAAAACCAAACCGACAATGTCAGTTTTTAAAAATTTAAAACCAAAATCAAACCGAAGAATAATATCTTCAGTCTGTTAATCGACCGTTTTTTATCAGTTTTTATCGGTCGGTTTCTTACTTAAAAAAATTTTGTGAACTATTTTCTTCTTAAATTTTAACCATTCAAATATTTAATATTTAAATAGTTAAAATTAAAAAGAAAAAATGGTTTAAAAGATAAAAAATAAAGCCTAAAAGAATATATCCTTAAGGACTAAGGCGAAATAAAATACATAGCCATTTATATAAAATAGTTGAGGAAAAATATTCTCATCTCTTTTCAATGTGGGACTTTCAAAAGTCTGATGTGCTTAAGTTTTCAAGCACATCAGACTTTTAATAATCTCACATTAAAAGATATGAGAATATATTCCCTCAACTATTCTATATAAAGAGCTATGTATTTTCATTTTTTCATCACAACTTACAAGTTAGAGAGATGTAACTTTTTTTGAACGTCCATCTTCAATAATATGATAGACTTATATTCACCACCTACAAGATTAGAGGTTCAAATATATGGATAATAACTTTTTTTTTAAAATTAGTCAGTCGATTCAGTTTAACCGATCACTTCGATTGGCAAAACCGAAACCGAACCATCCATGAACTATGAGCGGTCAGTTAACTGACTGAATTAGTCGGTTTGCTAAAGTGGAACTGAATTTTTAGTTTGGCAGTTCGCTGTCGGTCGGTTTCAATTTTACAATTCTTTTGAACACTCCTAGTTATTGTAATAGAAAGTACATCAAAACCACATAAAATAAAAGCACTTAAAAACTTATAATGGACACACTCCAAATATATAACACTCGGCACTCACAAATAAAAAAACAAACTAACTAAATAGAAGAAATAAAATACAACACTAAGCACTCTCTCGTACCTTTTCTTCTTTTACTTTGTTGTGGTAACAACATGAGGTAAATGCCTCCTTATATAGGCGAAATTAAACTTGGACTCCAAGTTTCTCCAGGCACATGGCTTTCATCAAACATAATGCACAAAATACCACCACTTGGCCCAACTAAAGGCCCAAAAGCAATGCCCAGCAATAGAGATATTCTTCTTATATCACAGATCGAATATACTTTTAGCATCCTAGCCTATATAAGCTACTATCAATTAGATTGAAGCCAAGTGTTAGCAATATGGGGCATTTTGTCTTTGATGAAGGCCACGTGCCTTGAAGAAACTTGAGTTGTCTTTTGTTTATGACTACCGAGTGTAATATACTTCGAGTGTGCCTATTATTAGTCTCTTAAGTGTTTTTCCTTTTATGTAGTTTTGATGTACTTTCTATTACAATAATTATAGAAGTTGTGTTTGCCCACTAGTGTTGTGTTCTACAAGTTATATCCATGCATGTATCCATTTGCTTCTCCAAATTTCTAGATTTCCAATCGACAGTAAATTTCATCAACATTGCTCGAGCATATTAGAGATGCAAAAATGGCATACCAGTCAATGCACACTTTGTGAACATGTATGACATTTGGAAGCGTTGCCTCATCACCCAGTACCAACTTCCCACTAGAATAATGTAACATTGTCCCTGTATTCTGGTATATTTCGCGGGGAAAAGAACAGGAGATAAGTAACCAAGTCTTAAAGACTACAGAAACATACTAAGAAAGACAAAATCGAAATCTACACAAGTCAAGAAGTTACCTCTGAGATATCAGAGGAATGGCAAAATGCACAAGTAGTTTTATTTACAAGCTGGCCATCCAAAATTTTAGGTGCCTGCACACTAGGTTGTGATATCATTTGAAGTTTACTCTCTGAATTGGTCATCAAAGCTCCAAACTTGGAAACATCTTGGAAGTGAACAGCACTGCTCCCACTCAACTGTAATACCCCATAGTTCAGTTGCTTCTGTCTCTTTACTTCCCTAAGATTACCATCCTTTCCAAAGCCAGCACTGTCAGTCCTAAGCTTCCCTATTTTAGAACCATCATTGTCTTGGCTTGGTCTTTTAGCCAAAGAATTTTCTGAGCTCTGAAAAGTGAAAACATAAATCCAAATAGACTATTTCAGTAAAACATCAATGACTCAATAACCTGTAAACAAGGCCTAATATAGATGTAGGTTTTTTCCCACTTCATAACTCTTTAATTTAAAGAGAATAAAGGCATATACCCGGGTGGAAACCATATAGATGATGGGGGAAAAAAATACAGAAGAGCAATAAACATAAAAAAAAAAAACCACCCAAGATTGCAACACCAAGAACATGAAATAAAAATGAATAACACAGGATTAAGCTGTTAATCCAAAGATACTATTAGCCACATGCAGATTTGAAAGCATGAAAACACCTTATCAAAAGCAAAGAAACAATAAATTCTTACATGCTCGCTGCAACGATAATAGCCGTCATTATCTGAACCTCTAGCGTCACCAAATGAAGGAGGGCTATCTGGTAATGATTGTGAGACGGGATTCATATATATTTCCACAGTTGTACACTCTTCACCACTGTGTTTCAACCCTTTATCATTCCTCTTACATTCTCGAATAAAGTTTTCAACTTTTCCACTCTTGTCAACACCAATTTGCTTGTCAACAGATTGTCCACTCCCTGAATTATCCCCTTGACCGTTTTCAGGTAATTCCTCGTTCATTTGATCGCCAAACCTGATATTTGTCGAAGCTGGGCTTTGCATTGAGACCCTCTCAGCATCTGTACAACCAACCCATTAAGTACTAATTAGTACTTACCAACAAAATTTTGAAAATCAAAGGAAAAATTATCAGAGTTAACGTTTAAAATATTACAACCTGAGTGAGCGGGCTGAAACAATTTGGCAGAGAAAGTGGCATCCAAACATCTATAGATTGTTACCATATTTTCCATAAAAGGCAAATGCCTCAGATCTGCAGCAACGAAAAAAAGAGCCATTTATCATTTATATGTTGTCACAGTATTTTCCATAGCAAATTTCCTTAGATCTTCCGACAAAGAAGATAATCAACTATCAAGCATCACTTCAGAGAGAAACCCAGAAGAAAAATTCAATTTTTCCTCGAAATGAAGTTGCTTGAGGACTAAGATGATAAATCCACAGTCACGTTAAAATGAGAAATTCCATCAAAACAAGAAAAGCCTATATACCTCTATAACAGTTCGAACCCAACAGACCATCAAACAAAGACAGACCTTTCCTCCGATTTCTTCGGTGGGACTCGTTTTCTTCCCAATGAAGAAGATTAAAACAACCCCCAAAATATCGCAATATCGACGGAAAAACGAAAAGCCTTACCTCTACCAACACAGTGGGTTTTACAGACAGGGCAATCCACACCAAACTGAGTTGAACCGGGTAAACAAGACCTACAGAAAACCCCAAAACACAAATTCATAAGACAAAATTAAGGAATACAAAACAAACAAACAAACAAACAAAAAGGAAATCTCACTTGCAGAAAACGTGATTGCATGGAAGCAGCGTCGGTCGATTGAGCAAACTTAAGCTGCAAGATCACCACGAAATACCAGAATAAGCTTCCATTTATCATTTTTAGATCTCTTTTCCTCAGAAACGAACGAAAAAGAAAAAATACGCACCAGAGAGGGCATTTGAACTCCAAACCCAGCTTTTGAAAATTGAGAACCCAGGGATTCAGCAGCCTACTACTTCTCCTGCTATCGCAGTTTACGGAATCCGCCATTGTTACCAGAAAAATCAAATCACGAGCTCCGGCAAAATGTGCTTGTCTCTGAAAATGGCGTTGGTGGGAATTGGTAAAAATGACGGGGTTTTTAACGCGGGTGAAGTATGATTCAAAATGGCTTTGTCGGGCCAATCGAATATGTTTTGTACACGTGGATGGCTGAGATTGTTTCCAGAGCGGATGTGGGACACGTGGCGGGAGATGGTCTTTTGGTCGAAGCAACGACGACGTTTTTTGTACTGTACGCGCGCGCTTTTTATTTAATTTCGGAAACTCCCGCCAGTCTCGTCCCGAAAATTAAAAGAGGGGGAAAATAGAACCCCCGCCTCCGTCCTAAAAAAGCAAATGGAATATCTCGGGCATGTAAATCAAATGCTCTTCTACATTTCAAAAAAAAAAAAAATCAAATGCTTTTTTTTTTGCTAAAAAACCAAAGGACGCGTTTAGAATAATTTTTAAAATAATTTTATTTTTTATATGAAAATAGAAATTAAAACATTTTTAATCTCAAATATAAATTATTTTTAAAAATACGTTTAGTAATTTTATTAATATATTATTTTCAGTATAAAAAAATCAATTAATGTCTCTCTCAAAAATAGAAATAAAAAATAAAAAACTACTAAAAGTCGTATTTTATTTCTCTATCATTTTATACTAAACTAAAAAATCGTTTTCATTTCCGTTTTTTGTCTTTAATTGTGTCAAGCGCCGTTTCTCTCCCGTTTTCATTTTTCTTTCTTGAAAAACGTGAAAAATAAAAAAAAATAACTCAAAACACAGCCTTTGTTTTCTGTATGAAAATGGAAATGAAAACGTTTTCATTTTCAGACAAGAATCATTTCTGAAAATGTGTTTAGTAATTTTATTCAGAAATTATTTTCAATCTAAAAAAACTGAAACTGCGTTTTGTGGTTTTATTTTTAAAAACATGTAATAGTATTTAAAATAATAATATATTAAACTTCTCCTCATCTTGTCCCCTTTCAAACACCAATTATTGTTGTTTCATCAATTAATGTCCTCCGATGACATTCAACAGTGAAAAGCCGCTTGTTAACGCCTTAAGCTCTCCCAGAGTGTACCAATGCCCCTAACCCAAGTGGGAAACCTCAGGGACGGGCATAGTCACCTGATAACCACCACCACCATTTTCATTATTATAACAAGATCTACCAAACCTCGCCGGGTAAGAAATCTGATGATCCTTGCCAAACACCCAGATTTTCAGCAAATACCAACATTACTTGAAAAAATTATGAGCAAATCATATTAATGGGCATACCTCGGTTGATTTGGGAGAGTAGGGGCTAAGCATAGTCGGAGACCGAAGAAGAAGGCTGTCGTTTATATCCCGAGACTTGCAATTCTAGCTAGAAGCCCACCGCAAGAGAGAGAGAACAGAACGACGAGAGGGAGAGAACAGAACGACGAAGAGGGAGAGAAGAGAACGACACAGAGGGAGAGAAGAGAACAACGAGAGGGATGGAGGTAAGTTGGAGAAAATAAAAATGGAAAAAATGAAAACGACTTTAATTCGTTTTCAGAAAAGCATCAGTTTTTGAGAAAAATACAAAAACGTTTTTATTTTTAATTTTGGTACGGTACTTCCCCAAACACGGTCTTCTTTCCGGTTTCAATTTTTTCTCCTCGTAAAACATGAAAAACGTTTTCAAAACCAGAAACAAACGCGCCCAAATGCTCTTACACACCCTTTTTTGTGCAAAACCTAAGGAAGAGCCACACGACAAGTTGTTTGTAGGTGAAATTTAACCCATCTTAAGTCTAGTTTGGTTCATAAGTTTGAACAAAAATATTTAAATAGAAATTTAAGTTTTGTGAAATAAAATACCGTAGCAAAAATATTAGTTGAACTTATAAAATAATCGCATGACTAGTTCGATTGTCAGCCACATTCACTCCAATTAAGTTCAAGAGTTAGTTGTCAAAATTAAAGATTCTAAGGAATGTTTTCACATTCAAAAACAACAAATACTGACCCCGTCATTTCGCCGATTCGAGTTTAGAATTTGAGTTTTGCTACAGTAAAAAGCTCTCAGAAACAGTCACATCTAACTTTTTTATTACAGTCAAAAGCTCTCACATAAAATCACATCTCAACTTGAATTACAAACTCGAATCAGCGAAGTGAACGGGAAATATACTCTTATTAAGTGAAAGCTAGCCAAAAACGGAGATTTCGTCCTTAAAAATAGTGTTTTAATTGTAAACTATACACCGGTTATCAGTTTTGTTTTTCCGAAAAATTGAATGTCGTTTCGGTTAATGACATAAACACTGCGTCAGTTTTTACTGTTTGTGTGTGTGAAACATAAAACATAAAAACACACAAAACATAAAAGAATTTAGTGGAACCACAATAGTATTTTCATTTTTCACCATTATACAAACGAGACAGTGAGACACGTCGTGTAAAACAATAAACGACAACGACACATCGTTTTCCTAATTGCTAGGATGCCTCCCTGTAAGGGAAATGTCGTTTACAGGAAGCAGTTATCCATCATAATTTACTCAATCTCAAAATAATACAGCTAGTTCCCCGTGAAACTACCACCTACTCATTTCACTCACATTCTTGGCCCTGCATTCCAACAAAGCCTTGTACAGAAGCAGCTTCAGTCTCTCGAACTTCGTTGTTGTTCACTTCCTCTGCCCCAATTATGTCATTCTACAACGGTAAAGCTGGTACATTGTCTTTCTCACCAATCTCCACTGTTTCATCATCAGCCTCACCAACTATATTTTCACATCTCATGATTCCAAATCCCATGGAAGAGTCTTTCAAATTTGTAGGAGTATCGGTATCATTGGAATTACTATCCATTTCCAACATACCTGATGACATTTCTTGAGGACCAGAGTCGGCGTTTAGTAGTGAGGGCGGCATTTTTGAAAGAGTTGCAATTTCTGGCTCATCAGTGGCTACTATTTCCAAGAGACTTCTTGCGTCGTCTTGAGTAGAGTCATCTACGGCAAACTCGGACTGGTCTTCTCGTGTTTCCTCTCCTTGAATGCTTGTAGACTCTTCACTTGATATTACCATTGTCTTCTCTATCTCCAGCAGCTTTTGGATCACTTCATTCACAGAATCTATCATACGCTCATTATCTTTGACATCGCTGCAAGAGGGATTAAAACCCCATTTTAGAAAGAAAAAAGTCGGGGCATGTAAGTGCATTGCCATTGAGCAAAATTTTCTATAAGCAAGAGAAAATGTCTCCATAATCAACTTGTGGTCTCTTCGAGTTGAATTGGTAGCAGATTTTCACAAAATTAAACGGTCAGATCCTTCTAATGAATCAAACGGAAGAAAACTTGTCGACAAAAAACAACATGTCGTTTTAACACCAACACAGAAATTATCAAGCAAAAACATCTCTTCTAAATGATTGAATAACAGCACACTTCATTAGACAAAACAGCAAAACACTGTTAGGATCCTGGTTGAGTCCCACATTGCTAAAGTACGGGCTTAGCATGTGGGTTTATAACCACTTGGGCACCATCTCTCCCTACAAGCTAGCTTTTGGGGATGAGTTCTACCCAATGGTTATAACAATTGGTATCAGAGCATGCCCTTCCTCAGGCCCACGTTGCGGAAGGAGCGACCTGGGGAGGGGCGACTTGGAAAGGCCAGAGTGGGCCATCCAGAGTGGGCCGCCGTGGACGTCGGTGTCAGAAGCGTGGTGGTATGTTAAGATCCTAGTTGAGTCCCACATTGCTAAAGTATGTGCTGAGCACTGGGGTTTATAGCCAGTTGGGCACCCTCTCCTTACAAGCTAGCTTTTGGGGATGAGTTCTACCCAAGGGTTATAACAAAACAAAACAAAACATATTATTCATATGAACCACGTCAAATTAAAAACTGTAAATGACATGTTTCCTTGATAGAAATCTCTTAAATGACATGCCGTTTTTTTAGATCGAACGACAACAAAAATACAGCATCTGGGACATCTCAGTTTGTATGAACACTAATTTTTTCCTGACAAATTATATTCCTTACATAGAACCTGTGCATATATTCCAACACAAACATGCTGAGTTTTGTTAAAATATATCGGTGAAACACAAACGGATTTATCATAAGAAGATATGCAAATCACAGGGTCTGATAAATATAACATAGCAACTAGCAAAAGTTCATACCATAAGCTCACAAAAACCAATCTGTGATAATGGTAAAAGTACTACCTTTCAGGAATCAGGTCTGAAGAAAGAAAGGCTGATTTCACGAGATCTTCAAGAAGAGAGGGGTTGTTGGAGAAATATCCTCCATACTTTGTGATTTCCACTAGAAATCGCAAGTCAAGAACAAACTGCAAGAGCAAGCAAGTACGGTAACAAATTGAAAATTTCGTGAAGGAACGTATTGAATCATAAATATAGGGGTACTGATGAAGGTGCACAAGAACAAGTGCTACTAAACAAAATTACAAGAATTAATAATTAACCTGTTTGTACATGATAAAATATTCCATTGTCAAATTCTCATTGGTTGTAGCCCAGATCTCTTTGTTTTCAGAAATATGTTCAAATATGGTTTCTACAATCTCCCTCAGCATCTCCAGCAACCATTCCTTTTCGAAACCATTGGCCTCAGCTAGTCTTTCTAGTTTTCTCAGTTCTAAAAACAATACCTAATATGGGCAGACCCATGGAACAAGAATAAGTAGCATATAAACTGGCAAACGGACTAAAAACACTCTCAATTAAGATTAAGAGTTTACGGACTGGTGCAACTGGTTTCAGTGTGCCCCCCCGTCAACATGGTGGAGTGGGGGAGCTATGCTGCTGGACACAGAAGGAAAAAGTGAAAAATGGAAAAGAAAAGCATGGGGAAATACCTGAAATGTAATAGAGGGCATCGGATCATGAGATACACTAGGATCACCATGAGCATGGTTGCAAATTATCTGAGCAAGTTCGCAGGTACTTTCCATGGACATTATTCTACGTATATAGTGCTGGCAAAAACAAACTGTAAGCCGACTTGAAGCTTCGTGCATGGACAATGTAAAACTAGTAAGTTCATGCTGTTGGTAACTTATGGCATGTGCATTTATATGATCGTTGCCTCCATTAATGCCTCTAACCATTCTGAGGAATAGTTGCTCTAAAGCTGATAGATTGGCTAGAATAGAAATCTGTTGTTGCACTGATGCAGCTATATTGATTCTGGAACCACCCTTTTCAGTGATATCCGTTCCATAAATGAGTGCGTTTTCAAGGATAATGACATACTCCTTGAAGAGGGTTATCAGTCCAAAAAAGATTGAGCCTTCCATTTGAAGGGAAACTAGTGGGAAAACATCTTCAGTGATAGCCTAACAAAGGAAAAGGGGGGAAAAAAATTACAAGTCAGAGCAACATCCAACATGTTACCCGTCTTAGTTTCACAGTTCACCAGTTAGGAGAAACTCTAAAGGATGCAAAACTAATTATGGGGCAGTGTATACCCCTTGGGACATCACTAAAGTTAAACATCAAAGCCTTTTCCGTCTGATTTTAAAAAGGAACAACACCAGCTCTAGAGTCAACTTATGCAACACATCATAGAAAAAAGATAATAGTTATGTGAAATGAAATTTAACAAGATTATATGCATTACAGTAAATTTATACAAAGAGTGAGCACAACAAGTTTGACAAACCTGCATTAGCGTTACAAACTTCCGACCACTGCTGGTAAGCAGGCAATATTCTGGTTCTTCCCCAACAACCATGGAAGAGCATCCTTCACTTATAATTCCAGATACAAGATATCTACTTAGAGTCCAATCATCTGTGGCAGTAAAGATACTAATGACTTTCTTAATGTGCTGTATGTGTGCACTTAGAATCTCTTCCATTGAAGGTCGGATATACTTAACCAAATATGGCCGCAACACTAATCTCTGAGTTTCCAACAAAGAACAAAACGACAATGAGATCTGCACATCTTGTGCTGCGGTTGACAATCCCCCACTTATGTCTGAGATGGACTCGAGATATTGATTGAAACACTCAACATAAATTTTGGTCTCTTCTCCGGCCCACTGGATAAGCTCCTTGGTATAAGGAGAAGTTTCCCCATATAACATGACAAAACTTTTCGCTGCTTGGGAGATCAAAGAAAACACAAGTTTTGCAAGCTCTCTGATGTACACCCCATAAGAAAACGACTTTGAACACTGTAAACTATGAATTCCTGTTTCTATGCGCGCGTGATAGTACTTAAGCATCAACTGAGTTGCAAGGTGACTCTCTCCAAGCCTGCAAAGTCCGTACAATGCCTTTTGCAGTTCTGGCGCAGCTATTCTCCGATTTTCAGCTAATCGAGTCAACCGCAGTGTAAGAACAGCCTTCCTATCAGAAATCGCAGAACTATATAGGCTTAACTCTTTCATAGAACAACTTACCTCAAACTGCATCTTTTGAAAATTTTCATGCTCCAATTCTAAAACATCAAGGGCTTCATCCATCCTGTTCTCTGACAGAAGAAGGTCCAATGCTTCCGAAACGTTGTTTATGTGATCCTCCAATTCACTTGAAGGTGATGGTTCAGAATATACAAGTTCTTCAACAATGGGGTCCATTATTTCCTCTGACAAAACCTCTGAACATGTGATATTCACAAGCTCTTTAACCAGCTGTTTTTGAGTTATAAGATGTTCTTTCAGTTGCACCAGCTCATTCTCCAAGCGCTCCGCTTCTTCAAAGATTCTGATCATTAAGTAACAAGATTTCATACGCATTTTTTGATTCGACGTCATTAGTTTGATTGTTTAGCTTTTGGAATTTGAAAAGTTTTAAGGAAAAAAAAAAAGAAAAAAACACACTGTAGAGTAGAATTTTGGAATTATAAAGGAAGAAAATCAAGCTTTAAGATGTTACCTAATGAAAGCAGTGTAATTAGAAAAAATGTTCTTGTGGAATTCTTCATTTGACGCCAACTTTAACTCCAAAAGTTCAGAACAAAAGTGTTTAATGCCCTGTACACCAAAATTAAAACTTTTCGAATTACAGAAAATTGACGACAAAGAAGTAATCAATTAGTTTTTCATACAGAGGAAATGTCAACCAAATAAGCGAATTTGAAGGATTGAGAACAAAACCATTACCTTTCCGGTCATGGATCCGAGATCGGGCTCGTCATCGCGATCGCTGGAAACGGAGGTGTAGTCGGAATCGGTGCCGGAACCCGCCGATTTCTCGACTTCCGAGTGGTCTCTGAAGCGGAATCTTGAAGACGTGGAGGAAGATTCCATCGGGAATTTACGGCTTCCCGAGAAACAAACACCAGCAGATAGGATTTCCTAGAACCCATGAAATGGAAAATTTTCATTATATTTTGAATATGATTGATCTTTCTGACCTCGTTTTCTTCTCCCATTGACGAGCTTTGTTTCCCTCGTCTTTTCAATCCTCAGCCTTGTTTCCCTCGCTAAACAACGAGGAGACTCCCAACCGCCAAAGCAACGGCTCCTTTCTTTTCTTTTCCTTTTTCTTTTCTTTCTTTTCGTCCTTTTTTGCTAAATTTTCTTTTCGTACATCGTAAAAAACCAATTTTTGTTGTTTAAAAAAAAAAAATTTTATTAACTTTTTTTCCTTCCAGAAAAGGTATATTATCAACTTTCTTTTTTCATTTATCTTTTTCAAGAGTGTCAAAAAAAATAAAAAGGTCCTATAAAAACTAACGAAATATAAAATTAAGAAGAAAAATTTTAAAAAAAGAAACTAGAGAAAGAGAGAGAGTTTTATTAACGAAAATAGTAGAAAATAGGCCAATATGAAAAGCTCAAGAAAATATATAGGTCAATTTTATAGTTATAGAAATTAATAGGCCGTAATTTGTCAAGTTATGGTTCATAACCAAATAAATTATGGAAAAACTTGTCAAGTTATGGTCTTTATTAACGAAAATAGTAGAAAATAGGCCAATATGAAAAGCTCAAGAAAGTATATAGGTCAATTTTATAGTTATAGAAATTAACAGGCCGTAATTTGTCAAGTTATGGTTCATAACCAAATAAATTATGGAAAAACTTGTCAAGTTATGGTCCATAGCCATACAAGTTATGAACAAAAACCGTGAATAACTTGTCAAGTTATGGTTCATAACCAGACAAATAATGAACAAAAACAGTAATTTGGCATATTTATTAACCTATGTAAACTATTGGCCTATTAATTTTAATTCATCTCAAGTCTTGGTCTATTTTCCTCTTTCTCCCTTTTATTAATCTTATGAAAGTATATAAAATAAAGAGCATTGGGCTTGTTCATTTGTATTTTTTGAGTTAGAGTGATTTGAGTTCAAATCTTGATTTGAGTTATTGCGTATATGAGTATGGTTTGAGTTGGGACTATAATTTAAGTTTGTGTTTGAATGTGTATATTTGAGTTATGGTTTGAATTGAAAATCTATTTGAGTTTGTGTTTGAGTGAGTCAAAACTTGAATTTGTATTTGAATAGTATTTTAATAAAAACTCATGGAAAATTTTAATAGGGTATATGAGTGAGATTTTATTCGTCTATTTGTTGTGAACGCATAGAAAAAAATCATCTTAATCGGAATTAAAACGAAAAAATTATGGCGTTTTTAAGAATATAAAAAATATTGTTCATTAACTTGAGTTGACGGGAGAACTTGAACTCATATTTTAGCCTTAAACTTAAGTTAAAACTCAAATTTTACAAAAGAACATGAACTTGAATAAAGTTGTAACTTGAGTTCAAACTTTTTTTGAGTTTGGGTGTAAGTGAAGGAAAATTTTCAGCACTATTTACGGTTACTATTTGCCCATTAAGATTCTGACATGAACAGTAACTTTGACTGACTTACATAGTAACTTTGACTAAAGTATATAGTTACTATTCATAGCACTCCCCCTTAAATGTCTATTATTCATGATGCCTCATTAAAAACCTTAAAAAGGGAAAAAGAGTACATCATTTATCTACACGTGTTTATGTTGACTCGTTAAAAACCTTATCAAAAAAATTCAGTGGGATAAAACCATAATAAAGGAAAAACATTACAGCCACGTAAACTCCCCTTCAAGTTGACATGTATAAACCTTCCTCATAAATCTCATAGATGACGTATGCCAATACTGTGGATATGCTTTTTGAATGTTGTAGTGAAAAGTGTCATTGTGAAAAGATATGTTGCATTGTCATTTGAACGAATGTATTGAATATTAATATCCTTATTCTTTTCGAACTCTTGAGAGTATGATAATAACTTCGCAGATATGTGTTTCGTTATGTTGCTTTTGACGTAACTTTTCATTATTTTGAACAACACATGCTGCATTGTTTCTAAATAATACTGTTGGATCTTTACTGATAGATAGTCCGCAAGTTTCTTGGATATGTTGAGTCATAGCCTCATCCGTATACATTCTCGACTCGCTTCATAGAGTGCAATAACTTCGGCATGATTTGAAGAAGTGGGAACAACTTTTTGCTTTTGTGAACACCATGAAACAACAGTATCTCCACATGTGAACATTTTATCCAGTTTGAGACTTAACTATATGTGGATTTGACAACTATTTTGCATATGCAAAACCAACCATCTCTTATTTTGATCATTTAGGATAAAATAATTCCAAATCAAATGTTCCTTAAAGATAACAGAATACATGCTTAATTATGTTCCAGTGTTTTCGTGTAGGTGATGAGCTAAATCTTACTAATAAATTAGTAACAAAAGTTATATCTGGTCGGATATAATTAGCAAGATACATAAGAGCTCCTATTGCACTTAAATATGATACTTCAAGACCAATGACTTATTCATTACCTTTGCAAAAGCGAAATAAATCATTTTCAACATTAAGTGATCTAATAATCATTGGAGTACTTAAAGAGTTTGCTTTATTCATGTTAAAGCATTTTAAAACGTTTTTAGTATATTTTGATTTATGCACAAGTATTTCACTTTGGTGCTCAATCTGTAAACCAAGACAATATTTCATTTTTCTAAGGTCTTTCATTTCAAATTCATCTTTTAATTAATCATGTGAATGTATATAAAATGAAGAGTCTTAGAGCTTTATTTATAGGAAAATTTTATGCACTATTTACGGTTACAATTTGCATAGCAAGATTCTGATATGAACAGTAACTTTGACTGACTTGCATTATAACTTTGACTGAGATTGATAGCTACTATTCATAACAAAAGGTATATTTTTATCTTGGATTAATTTCAAAAATTCCCTTTAAACTATGACCTTTATAACACTTTGTCCTCTTAATTTTAAAAAGTAACATCTGTTTTTCTTGAACTTTGTTCCGTTAACAAGCTTTATCATTCTGTTACAATGAGTGACAAAATTGTCACATGTCACTTATTTAGTGAGAATTAAAAGCGCAATTACACTTATACCCTCATAATAAGATAATTCCCTATTTTTATTGAAAAAATTCACCATATTCGTTCCCATTTTGTTTCTTTTTTCCTCACCTCGTTCATCCATGGCAAGTTCATGCAGTACAAATAATGGTGACAACAACTGGGTAAATGAAAAAATTCAAGGTTCTATTCGATTAACCCAACAAGATGACATGGTAAAACAAGTTTAGTAACTAACAAACAGATTTAGCAAGTATTCAGAAAAATGCAACAAATAAAGGAAAGAATGAGCAAACTTACTGTCAATAGGATTCAAATTGCCAATATTTCTCTATGTTGCAGCCATTGGGAGTGATTCACCATGAAAGTTTACAATGAATGATTTTTCTTCAGATAATATTTTTTTAACGCATTTGAGTTTTTTAATCATTTTTTAATAACTTAGGGTTGATGTATGTTAATTTACGATAATATCCTACTTAAATGGGTCATGTACCTGACACGTGATAATTTTTATCACTCATTATAACAAAAAGATAAAATTTATTAACAAAATAAAGTTTAAAAAAAGACAAAGTGTTACAATAGTCATAGTTCGGAGAGAATTTTTAAAATTAATCTTTTTATCTTCCGTTTTTATTTTTTGAGAAAAGTCAAAAGTCGAAATAAAATAAAATGAAATAAAAAAAGTTTCAACACCTTCTTGACGCGCAAGTAAAACGACACCGTCTCCGCGATATATTCACATGACGGTGACGACGTCGTACTGATTCTAACTTCATGTGAGTCACGTTTCAACGCGGCGTAATTCAGACGGCGTCGTCTTGGGGGACATTTCCATTAATTCGCAATAAATGAATTCGACGAAAAATCAATTTCAATGGGTCTTAGTCAGCAGAGAGCAGCCATTAACAGCGAAACATATAATAGACGAAGAAGAAAAAAAACCACCAAACTTTCAAAACGCCCCAAAAAAAAAAAAAGAAAAAAAACAAGAACGCCATTTCCAACACATACACATGCTCATCACAACAATCCCTCATCTTCTTCCTCGTCTCTTCTCCGATTGCCAATGCGAATACCTACTCCTCTCTTCTTCTTCTGCTTCTGCTCCCTTCTTCTAAGTCCGACCAGTCCCGCCGGCGCGGAGTTCGACGGCGACTACTCGAAGCTTTCGGGAATCATCATCCCCGGCTTCGCCTCCACTCAGCTCCGCGCATGGTCGATCCTCGACTGCCCCTACTCTCCCCTCGATTTCAACCCTCTCGATTTGGTCTGGCTCGACACCACCAAAGTACGTCTTCTTCTTCGCTTACCGCCAAATTCTCCGACGCCCTTTCCGTTACATTTGCTTGCTCTTTTTGTCTTTTCTTGTCTGTTATTGTTCTTGTCGGTGGTGTGGAAGGGGCATTCAATCAAATGACGTGCTGTTATAGAACTTTGAATATTATTACGTTAGCCAATCAGAACACTGTTTTCAGTTATTTGGATTGTTTTCCAAGAACATTTCTTGTCTTTAACTGAAAAAAAAAAAGAACGTTTCTTGGCTGCCCACTGTATGTTCTGTCGTTTCTTGTTCCGTTATGTCCTAAAATTATAGTCGTAAAAAGCTAAAATCTTTGCACCAAGTGCATTGGTATTCATTAATTATGTTGTCTTTTCTTGCTTTACAAAGAACATAAAATTAAATTCTTCTAACGTTTAATCAAGAAAGAAAATGAGCAAATTTGATTTTTTTTTTCCTGCATAATCCGGGTTTGGAATCATTGTGCATTGCAGCTTCTTTCTGCAGTCAACTGTTGGCTAAAGTGCATGGTGTTAGACCCTTACAATCAAACTGATCACCCCGAGTGCAAATCGCGGCCTGATAGCGGTCTTTCGGCAATCACAGAGCTTGATCCAGGCTATATAACAGGTATGTTTTCCAATTATACCATGTAAATGGTAGTTTTGAGGCACACGCATTTTTGTTATTCAAACCATATTTTATTTTGCGTTTTTGGTGTGACATATACAGTTAAAGTTTCATTCTTTGTGGCCTGCAGGTCCTCTTTCTTCAGTGTGGAAAGAGT